TAGAGTTGTTAGGCGAAACCTAGAGGTTTCGCGCTGACGAAACGCGAAACCTAGTTTCGACTTTCGTCAATTTGAACTGCAAATGACGAAATGACGAAACTGACGAAAGGTGACGAAACTGACGAAAGGTGGCGAAAGGTGACAAAGCCTGCGAAACCTGCGAAACCTGCGAAACTGGTGAAACTGATGAAAGTTGACGAAACTTGTAAACTGGTAAAAGTGATTAAGCTAATGAAATTTAATATTAGTAAAATTTGACAAATTTAGTTAGAATAAAACTTCAAGTTTAACTTAAATTTTTATAACACATTACTTGAGCTACTAGTAAATAATGAATATAATATTTTTATATTTGTTTTTTTTTTTTTATAATTTTTTTTATTTGATAATTAAACCTTAAAATTATTTTTTATTTGTAAAAAAATTAATAAATTGTTTTTTAAATACCTTAATAATAAATTAGCTAATAAATAATATAACATATTTATTAAATATAAATACTTTAATTTCTGTACTAAGTTTTATAAAATTTAAAAATATAATAATTAGAAATATAAAATTACTAGTATTATATATAATTTTATGACTTTTACTAAAACGCACCTATGGTATTTTACACCTATGTATATATTATCTCAAAAACTGGCTAATTAATTAGTGCAAGATGTTCTAAGTAAAAATGCTCTACGCCCCTAAAAATCTTTTTCAAACCCTAACTCTAACCCTAAATACTAACACTAACATGAAAATTTTGTGTTAAAAATTTTTATATTTAAAACTTAGAAAAATCTAAAAAATATAATAAAATATATGATAGGCGCAAAACCACCATAGATGCGTTTTATAATAAATGTAATTTTATAATTTAATTTATTAAATTTAATTTATATTTATTTATATTTATTAAGATTTAACAAGTTTTAACAAGTTTTTTTAAATTATATAGTAATTTAAATTTAAAAATAATATAGTTAATAAAATAAAAACCAAGTTTAGTTTTTTTAATAATATAATAATTAAAAAATTTTAACTTTACAAAAAAATTAATAGGAAAAAAGTGTGAATTAACAAACTAAAAAAAACCTATTAATAAATAATAAAATTAAAATTTATATATATAAAATTTATAACTTATAAAGAAATAAAAATTTAAAAAATAATAAAATATATAATATATTTATTTTAAAATAAATATAATTTATATATTTTATATTCTAAATTAAATAAAATTTTTAATTAAATTATATATAATATATTTAAAATTTTATTAATTTCAAATTATTACTTACTAATCATCATCTGAAATTAATAAATCTTCAGGATTCCAATCATATTCATCTTGTCCAGAAATTTGATTTTCTTCACTAAAATATTCTAAATTTTCATTACTAATTTCTAGTAAATCATCATCATCATCATTATTTTCATCAGAAAATATTTCTAAATCATCAATAAAATTTTGATCATCTAAATCTAAATTATTTTCTAAAAATAAAATTAAATCTTCTTTAGTTTTTGTTATTTGATTTTCAGTTAAATCTGTACTATTATTTAAAAATAATTCTTCTTTATCAAAACCTTCTTTTTCTAAAATTTTTTCAAAAGTTTTAGTATTTGTTTGATTTAAAATTTCTAAAACTTCTTTTTCACTCATTTTACTTGCAAAATAAGAAAGTTCTTTTTTTGCATTTGAATTATAAAATGTGCATAATTTTGAAATTGATTCTAATTTTTGAATATCTAATTGAATACGTCTATTTCCAGTTAACCAATTAAGTAAAGAAAAATTTCTTTCACAAGATGCACTATTTGGAACAATAGCTAAAATTTTTATAGCTAATTCTTGAAGATAGTTTGGTTCAGGTTCAATAGAGTTCCACCAAATTATTGGAATATCTTGTCCTTGTACATAAGATGCATCATATGGATATTTTTTTTCTTTATATAAACGAAGATGTGATACTAAAATATTACCACTTGCTCGATCTTTTTCTAATTTTTGCCATATAGAACCTACTATTTTAATAATTCTAGAAAATTGTCCACTTTTAAATCCAAGATCTAAATTATAAAATATTATTAGTTTAATATATAATAAATATAAATATAAATATAAATATATTTACTTCGAAAATTTGGTATTAAAAAATATCCTAAAATATATAAATCATCATCAAATTCTTTAAATCTTTTGTTTAAAATCTTAAAACAATGTTTTCGAAATTCTGTATATTGTTTAGTTGGTAATTTTTTAATTGCTGCAGCAGATTTTGCTAATCCAAGATAACAATCACCAAGAGTAGCATAATTGCTTTCTAATAATAGCAAAGATTTTTTTAAAGGTAATAAAACAAAATTTAAAACTTTTAAATGAATAAAAAATGTATATTTGTTAATAATATTATTAATTTGTTCTGTTGTTAATATTTTATCTTCTACAATCTATAAAAATAATTTAATTATTTATAAAATAAATTTATTAAAATTTAATAAATTTTTTTATAAATAAAATTTGTAAAAATTAAATTATAATTTATAAATTTTAAATATTACCTTTTTTAAAATTTTTTCTAAACGTAAAACACTTTCAACTGTATCACTAGCAGTTGTCCATCTTGTTTTAGAATAATTTTTAAGTCCACCACCAGAAACTTTAAATTGTTCTATTAATAATCGTAATTCTGCTCCTTTAAAATTAAATAAATTTAGTAAATTAAAATTTAAATTAAATTTAAATAAAAAATTTTATACCTGCTTGATGTGAAGATTTAAAAAAATTGTATAAAATATTACATTTTTTGATTAATTTATCTGCCCACTCATTTTTTAAAATATCTTGTGCAACTAAATTTATTGCATGAGCAATACATCTTATACTAAAAATATGTGGATATAAAGCTGATATTTTATCTCGAGCAAATTTAATATTAGCACCATTATCACTAACTATTGCTGCAAAATGATCTGCTCCAATAGAATCTAAAACTTCTTTAATTTTATCAGCTAAAAATTCACCTGTATGCTTTTCATTAGAAAAATCACAAAGCTTATATAAGTATTCTTTTTTATCAGGTGTAATAATTATAAAATTCCAAAAAGAATAATTTTTTTTACTACTCCATCCATCTAATACTAAATAAAAGTAATTTATTAGTTATTAATTTTTATATAAATTATAAAATTAATTATATTACCTAATGTTAAATTTGAATATTGATAAAAAATTTTATCAGTTTTTTGATTAATAATTGCTAATTGTTGTTCTAATAATTGACCTGATAAATATTGTCGTGAAGGTGGTTCATAAGATAAATTTGTTTCTTTTAATGCTTCAATAAAAAAAGGATTTTCAATAATACGCCAAGAAATTCCACACATTGCAAAAGCTTTAGTCCAAGCAAGATGAATTTTTCTTAATGTTTGTTCATCTAATTTAGTTGAACTAATATATTGATTAAGAGGACCTTGAATATTAAGTTTTCTTTTCTTATTAATATCACTTTTTTTAGAATTATTAGAAAGAATTCTTGTAAGAAATTGACGAATTATTGTTGAATCAGCTTTTGGACAATGATTAGCTAAATGATTTTCTAATTCAATTGGTTCACCACGATTCCAAATTGCTCCACATAAATCACAAGTTGCTTCATATTTTCCTTTT